TAAGATCATCGAGTCCAACCATCAACCCAACACCCCCATGCCCACTAAACCATGTCCCTAAGTGCCTCATCTACTCGTCTTTTAAATACCTCCAGGGATGGTGACTCAACCACTCCCCTGGGCAGCCTCTTCCAACGTTCAACCACTCTTTCAGTAAAGAAATTTTTCCTCATATCCAATCTAAACCTCCCCTGGCGCAACTTGAGGCCGTTTCCTCTCGTCCTATCGCTTGTTCCTTGGGAGAAGAGACCGACCCCCACCTCGCTACAACCTCCTTTCAGGTGGTTGTAGAGAGCGATGAGGTCTCCCCTCAGCCTCCTTTTCTCCAGGCTCAACAACCCCAGTTCCCTCAGCCGCTCCTCATCAGACTTGTTCTCCAGACCCCTCACCAGCCTCGTTGCCCTTCTCTGGACACGCTCCAGCACCTCAACGTCCTTCTTGTAGTGAGGGGCCCAAAACTGAACACAGTATTCGAGGTGCGGCCTCACCAGTGCCGAGTACAGGGGCACGATCACTTCCCTACTCCTGCTGGCCACACTATTTCTGATACAGGCCAGAATGCCATTGGCCTTCTAGTTATTCTAGTTAATATGTCTTTCCAAAATATACTTTTAAGTATAGGAAAATGTTAGTTTTGGGCTGTATCACTAAAGATTTTTTTTTTTTTCTTTTTTGGAAGGCGGAGTGTATTACAGGTGTGTATTAATTTTTTTAAACTGCTGAATATTTTCAGTTTTGGCATTGAACAATCTATATAAAATTTGAGGATCGGTTCTTCTGAAGTGGTAATTGTTTTCTGCAGCAGAGGGTTCCTTAAATCTCTTACATCCCCTGAATTACTGGCCCAAACTCATGCTAGTGTATGGTATATAAATTGTACGAGAGCAGCGAAGCCATTGATTCCTCAGATTGTTAGCTGATTAATGTTAGAAATATTAAGAGCTTTGAAGGAGAGTGTCGGTATTCATGGTGATATGAAAGGGTGATAGATAGTTTTCAGTGGCAAAAGTGGTAGTAATCTTCAGGGTCTCAGTCTGGGAGAAGTTAATGAGTTAGCCTGAAACTTTGTGATGTGGTTTGTAAGAAGATAGCACAAACGATGTTACTGATTCTCGTCTTTTAAATTGCTATTCTGACTTCAACAGGTTCACCCCTGACTTCAGTAATGCCCAGTGACCAGAATCAGATTCACAGTCTTTTTGTTTTATAGTGTGTTTTTAACAAAAGGTGAAAAATGATATGATGTGGGAATGGTGGTGATTTTAGCCATCCTGTCAGTTTCAAAGCGGCATCATTTTTCTTGCATGCTGAGGTGCAACTGGGTTCTGACTAGTGAACACTTCGTACGGTGGAAGCATTGGATGTACAAAAAATCAGATAGCTTTTTCCTTTATTACTGGTGTGCAGCTACACGCATGTACCTACCCGTCAGCTACCTTACAGTCCTTTTACATGCTCGACATTTGTTCAGCTGTAAAAAGTAGTTTGTTCATCTAGTTGTTAAGCTGCTAAATCTGGAAAACAGAGTGAAGTGTCTCTCACGGTGTGAACAACAGAGGTGGAAGTACTTGCCTAACTTTTCACGTCCGTGAATCGCAAAGGGTTTAGTGACATAGCTGCAGCCAGAGTTTCCAGCTGCTCTAGAAATTTTCTGGAGAAAATTCAATTAATTTTTTTGTTTATATGCTGCAGAAATGGAAGTTTTAAAAAAAATAAAAACCTTTAATTACCCTCCTGACAGTAGTTTGGGCTTTTTGTCAGCTTGGGTAGCAGAAACTCCTCACTGATACTAGTCACAGGTATCAGAAAACTGGGGTTTTTTTGGTGCTAAGATGCACAGACTTTTTGCATTGATTTTTGTGTGGCCCGTAATGTGGCAGTGGCACAAGACCTGGGCAAGGGCACGTTCCTCCTCAGCTCCCCTCGGTCTTATATGTCTCCAGAATGGCATATGTCTCAGTACATGTCTAAACACCGGGGCTTCTGTAAAAGTGAGGAAACATATTATTTCACATTGTTAAACTAACAGCTTAGCTCCATAAGTGTGCTTAAAACTAACAGCTTAGCTCCGTAAGTGTGCTTAATACACACTCGTGTAGTAATGCTGTCTTTGATTTTTTGTCTTTATATACAGTCCTGAGCGTTTTCCAGTTAGTAGTTATCCATTCTGCTGTTTGTTGGTAGTTGTTCTAACAGAGCATCCTGTGTCCACCATGGCTTGCCTCGTGTACCCCTTTAATGTAAAAGGTTCAGCTGACTTACAGCTAATAAATAACCCAGCTGAATAATGGTGGTTGGGCCAAATTGAAACCAAACTGAAAAGTTATTTTATTTCTGCTTCCTGTTTTTGTTGGAAATAGTCTTCCTTCAGATTTCAGATGAGTTTGTATAATATGGAGATAGTTCTTGGAAAAACAGACACTTAAAGGAGGAGTGCCGCTCGTGGGGGGGTCATCAAAAACGTGGCCGGTGTGAGCTCTGTGTTCAGTTCGGCTCGACGAAACGATGCTTTTCTGGGCATGTTAGAGCATCACTTGACATGCCGTGAGTCAGAAGTGACCTGCAGCTGCAAGGATTCATATAAGTGCAGGCTGTTGGAAGACTTCTCCCAGATGTCGCACTGAAAGTGGAAGCAGCTCCTGTTGTTGCTCTCACTGTTTGGTAAGAGAACAGCCTGGGGGGGTTGGTATCTGTTAAACAAGAGAGTGCAGCTGAGCACGGGTATGGTCATCAAGACCTCTGTCCTGACCTCTGCACGTGGCGTGTTTTCAAGACGATCAGCGTTCTTTAACCCCTCTATCGAAATTCACTGTATACAAGGCTTCAGTGTTTGTGCCAAATAATAGATTTCCCTTAAAACAGATTAATGTTGATTTTAGTGGAAATTGTAGAACCTGAGAATTTAGTCATAGTTTAGCTAAAAAGCATATTCTAAAGTAAAATAGTGACAGACCACTACTAAAAATGAATTCAAAGGAATTAATTCAGGCATTGCCTTCCCACAGGTGATTTTGCATATGTGAAAATATGGTTAATTGCCTTCCTGGTCTTTGTCTGGAATCTCAACATTTTTGTTAAAGATTTAATAAAAGTAATTTCTAGATAAATGTTGGGAGACATCGTGTTTCTTTTGGGTCTGCAAGCTCTTGTAGAAGGGCAAGAAAGGGAAGGAAAGTTTTGGTGTTTATTATTTACTTCAGAACACAAGTTTCTTCTTTTGCAATGCCCTGATGAATGCTGGGGCCTAGGATGAGGCTGAGGATCAGGCCAGTGTGCAATTTTTTCCTTATTTCTGTCTGGACTAGATACTAGGCATTGCAGGGGTGGGGTGGAAATTCATTATTGTCAACCTTGTATCCTTCTGTGGTCAGTGCATTAAAGAAAAGAAAACAAAAGAGATGGTGAGTGAGGCGTCTGTGGTCAGTGCATTAAAGAAAAGAAAAGAGATGGTGAGTGAGGCATTAGTCATTTAAAAGGTGGTGGTGGGTGCCTTCTGCAAGAGTCTTGCAAGGTCTTTTGATAGTTTCAGGCATGCTTCAGCAGTTACTTTACAAGGACAAAATTAGAAGATAAATGTTGAGAGATTTCAAGAACAACACCCCCCACCAAATCAAAGCTCATCTAACCATTTTCTCTGCGGTGTGCGAGTTTTGAACAGTTTCATTGCTGTGGAAGTGGTGAGCATGTCAGTATGCATGCTCTGGCCAGCATCGTACATGTTGCAGCAAAGGTTAATACGCTAGGGCTCAGAGTTGTGACCCTGGAATAACAAGAATTAACTGTATCTTAAAATGCCTTTATTTTGTGGCTTCCTTCATGCCTTAGATTTATTATTACCTTAAAAAAAAGGGGGGGGTAGTAGGAAGAGAATCAACTAAAGTTTCTTGTTGAAGTGGCATAGCACTTAGTACACACGTGGTCTCTGAGGTGTTTCTAGCATGCTGCCTTTTTTTTTTCTTGCAGAGGACCCATAATCACATAATAAAATGTTAATAGTACCAGTCTTAAAAGATTTAGTTCCTAGCATAAGAATATGTAACAGTGGTGCTCTGTGTGTATAATATATGAAGCTCCTGTATGTACTGTGACTGTATAATAGATACAGTTGTTCTAGTCTTAAAATTAAATGTGGTGTTCCAAGCATGCATTGTAATTAGATGCTAGAGAGCTGTGTTAAAACTATTTTGCAAAAGCTTGTACAAACTAAGAAACATAATTTCTCTCCTTTGTCTTTTGGGACAGAAATGTGTTTACTATTCATGCAGTCCAGAGAGTTCCTTTCATTCTGACTTCCTTTATTTTTTTTTATTTTATTTTTTATGATACAGTTTATACAACTAACTCTCTAAGAATCTTATCTTTGCCCTGGCAAACAGGCAAACTAAGAAGGCATGTATTACAAATGAAGAGATACAGCTGCATTTAATGTCTTTATTGTTTCCCCCCCCCCCCCCCCGGTTTCCCCCATAACTCTGTGGAAGAAAACACATATCTTGCAAAATCCTGCAGTAGCTGACAAAATCATAACTCATGTATATTTATTCAATGCCTAGATTGTCACTGTCGAATAAATACAGGGTCTGAGGCTACTGGTAATGACTAGTCCAAATAGCACTGTAAGGTCCAGGTCTGTTTTTTCTTACTTATTCTGCTCTACTGGGCCAGGAGTCTATGTGAATGTAATTAAAAATGGAGGTTGCCATAATAAATACAGGTATCAAAGAATTATTTTTCAACCACCTTTTTTAATTAATAAATTTAACCATTGAGATGTCAACCAGTTTTGTTTTGTTTTGTTTTTAAAAAAGGATGCTCAGGAATTGTCATGCTGATGACAGGAGCAGGTTTCTTGGTGTTGGGATATTAGCTCTGAGGTGGGGGAATGGGATATGGCCTTGTCTTAGTTCAACAGGATGGTGATACCAAGGAAAAATATACCTTACATGAAACTTTTAGTAACATCAGCTATTGCATTTTTATTTTTTCCCCTTCAGAGAAGAAATCTGGTTGGAACGAGTAATGCAGATTTTCCCTCTGGGGATCCCGGAATGTACCAGTTGGACGTTACTCTAAGAAGAGGACAGAATTTAGCAGCACGGGACCGTGGAGGTAAGGGTGCTGGTAAACACTGCCTTAATGTTTGGGAAGTTACATGTCCATTGGGTAAATTTATATGAGGGTATTAAAGTTACAACTAAGGTTTGAATTGTAAGTGTGTTAGTTAAAACTCTGCTTAAAACTATGTAGAGGTACTTTGTCTCAAAAGCATGAAGTAAAAGGAGCTAGGGCCAGCTAAACCCACACAGGAGGAGAAATAAGATTTAGGTAATATTGGTTTGATTCTTCTGCTAGCTAATTTTCCTCCCTTTTTTGAATGTTTCAAACTAAGAAGGGTGTGATAGATTTACTTTAACCATGCAGATTTGTGCTGTCTTGCTCACACAAGTGCTGTCTTGCTGCTTACTTTGTTCCTTGACTGCTTAACTGATAAATACTGGAGCCGTGTTTAAAGACAACAACAGTAAAACCCCTCTATTACATGTGTCCAGGCTTTACCTGTTGGTCAATCTGCTGATCACATATTGGCATTTTACAGTCTGCTCTTAGGCATGTACCGCACATGTAGTTCAGAAAGGATTCCTAAAAGGTATTTTGACCTGCAGGAACACAACAGGCTGACTCAGTGACGCTGTACATACAACTGCAGCTCATATTTAAAATTAGATTAAGTCAGTAATCCACTTCCTGAACAGCAATGTGAGCATGATAAATCTGACTAACAGCCTATTTTGGGCTTGTCATAATATATTCCTTGGGAGAGAGAAAAAGCCATAGTAGAAATTTAACTACAAAAAGTAGTATTGCACAGGACCTTTCCATGCTTACCTGATGAAGTGACTTGAGCAATTTCAGATCTCAAATACGGTAGCAGAAACCTAGAAGGCTGTTTACATTAATAGGAAATTACTTCACTGATATTTATGTCACTGAAACGGAAGTTGTAATATACTCACTCTTGCAAGAATAAACTTTTATGTATATTCTTCCTCTACATGTATTGATATTCTATCAAGCTTTCCCTGACATTCATTAAAAATAGATGCTCAAATGTTTTTGTTCCATGAGCTAGAGAGACTTGCCCAGTTCCTGAATAAGTGTTGTAATTCAGTCATATCCATCATTCATATTATTTGTAAATAAACAAAAATGTGAATGTAAATGTGATTATTTGTATGCAAGGAAAACATCTGTTATTTTTTTTTTTCCCCATAATACAGGAGTCTAGGTCTAGAGTAAACAAAAGATAGGAGATCCGTCTCCTAAGATGGAATCTCAGGTTCTGAAATGAATACTAGGTGCTGTATAAAATGTCAAGTGCTTTAAAAGGTCAATTTGGAAAGCTGCCGCTCGAGCAGCAAGGAAGCCTCCTCAAGCTACCTGGGAGGCAACAGGACAAGAGTGGTGTTTCCTCAGTACTTGCTAGTCCCAGAGCCCAGACATTAGGGTTGCTCTGGACGGTTGTCACCCACCCTGTTTTGGAGCCTGTAGTTCACTTTGGACGGTATACACCTATCGCCTTTCAAAAGGCTGAGTAAGTACTGGCTTTTTCTTTTGAAAAGATACTGGGGGAGAAGGTAGTTGTTGGGCTCTGGTTTCACAGAATAGTCTCATAGCTTGAAATCTTACCAAAAAGGCGAGATGCCTGGGTTACTCTCTGCTTGCTTTCTGAATTTTTTCCTGTCTCTGATAAAGCTCAGCTCTCCCATCTTTAGCAACCAAGGGAGTGTTTTACCAAGCCCCTGCAAGCTTGTCAGGAAGGAGAATGTGCGTGGTGTCTTATTGAAGTGTAGAAGATCCTTCAGGCCAGATGGGGAGCTACAGATATGCTCCCTCCCGCATTGACCAGCTTTCAGATCTCAAGTGGGTTTGGGCTTCCAGGACTGAGCCTTTGTTTCTTAAGGGGAAAATATGGAAACAGTACCTTGTAATGGGACCCCAAGCTAGGACCCATCCACTCTTGACTGAATGTCCTGGCTGTCATCCACTGTGTTTCTGCTTGTTTTCCCTTTCTCTTGGAGCTACTCAGTGAGATTTTAAGAACACCTGCAGAACTTGAATCGAGGGCACTTTACAGGCATTAGGCAAGCACTTAGTGGATTTAGATGGCTGCTGAATGGGAAGTGCACAGAAAGGGGCTTGATTTGGGAAGTCAGTTTTGTTTAAATCCTTTCTTGAGTGTAATACTTGCTCTTTTTAATGTATTCTTTAAAGTATCCCTGTGGTAGTCCCAGTGGTGTTTCACTAAGGAACGGGGCATGTAAAACGGAATTCTTACTGGAAGTTTATGTGGGTGCAAGAGGAGATTCAGCGAGTTCATGGAAGAAAAATCCACAAAGGGCATTGAAATGCACAGAAAACACATCTAACTCTGAAGGTCTTTGCTCCAAATTCTTAATGCCTAGGAGGACATTGGAGGAAAATAATATATGTGCCTGTCATCTTGTTTCTCTGTTAGCATCTGCTTATATGCCCTGATGGAGACAGAGCAGTGAGGTCGCAGGACCTTTGGTCCGAGCCAGTACCACTGTTTCTGTTGCATTGCCTGCATGCTGCGGCAGTGCCTGTACCAGCGGTTACGAGCCAGAATGTGACTACAGGACAGTCCATGGGAGGCACTGTGTAAGAATATATATCCAGATGTTAAGTGGAGCTACTAAGACAGATGTGTTAGATATTAAAAATGGAGCTTGGAAGATTTATCCCAGGACTGTCTCAGAGGAGTCTTACACTGTAAGTCTGTAACAGCGCATTAACACCCCATTCTTCCAAAACTTTTTACAGATCCTCTGCTTAAAAGCCTGACAATTGAATTTTCTCCAAGTACTGTGAATTTCACTCTAAAAGAATACTTGAACTACATAGTAGAAAGGAATTTTGTTTTAATTTTAGCTTTTTGTTCTTTATTTTTGCACTGCAGTTTCACATATCTTTTTAGAAACCTGCTGCTGAACATATTGCAGTCTTGGAATTCAAAGTTGAATTCTCATGTCGTGAATGTTCTGCACACTTTGTCTTCCCCAAATTTATAAAAAGAGACACCACAACATTCTCAGAAGATAAGGGGAAAGAGTGAAGCTATATTTATGTGGCTAGCAATGCCAGCATTAATCACGGCTGTTAGCTGATAAATAGCACCATTGATAGTCACAGCAAAAGGGGAACAGAACGTTCTTCATGAGAGGACCAACATCTTGCTGTTGTCTTCTCAAATGATTGAAAATAATCCTTCCTATAACAGGCAATATTTGTGCTCTGGTGTGTGCAGTATGATGGAAGGAAATGTAACCATTTTAACTCCTCATCTTCACAAGAAATCCTGTCTTCAGTCTGATCCAGCTTTTCTTCCAAGTACCACGGAGCTGTGGTACCACAACTTCATCTCAGCTATGTGATGAGACAGATTACATTTTGGCTTCTGGCAAAATCCTGTAGTGACCACAAATGTGGTTTATAACATATGCTTTATTTAAGCCATTCCTAAAGTAAACCATGTACTTAGTTAGATTTAAAAATTTGTTTTCTGAGACTTTTTGCCGTAAGATTGGGAAAAACTGTGTCATGTTGGACCTGGTAAGTTGGTAATACTAACAAGTTAACCTTATTATACCTACATCTTTATGTTTTCCTTTTCAGTTTTGATTTCTCATTTTCTTTTTGTCATATACAGTGTTTGTGTAATATCATGTATATCTTTAAGAGTTTTATCTGGAGTTAAAATTTTTAGGTTAAAAAGACCCCTTTGGTTTGTTGCTGGTCTCGGACTTCCTGCATGTGGAGTTTATATGGCTACTTCATATTGGTAACATGCCTTTATAGATGTTTTGCAATATCTTAAATATTGTTTTTAAACAAACGGAAAAAAACCCCATGTGGTTGATCCATTTTTGCTTTAAAAGAGACTCATTTTGAAATGCAAACTGAAATGTTATAGCACAAAATTGGTGAAAAGGGGAATTCTATCTTAGTCATTAGTTTTCTACGATTCTCTTCAGTCAAAAGAAAGATGCCAAAATATTCTTTTAAGTGTTTTAAATATGTTTTACTCACAGTGTTTTCTTATTTCACTGGAGCCTGGAATCCACTCCCTTTCGTGCCTTTTGAGAAATGTACACTGCTGGTTTGCTGCTCCACTTTAGACAAAGTTGGGAAATAAGTACCACAGGTTAATCCTGAGGATTTTGTGTCATGTCAAAAAACAGGCTAGATACTTGATGAATTTCATCCCTGTTGGCTTCAAAATTTATAATTTTTTTTTTTTTTACAAAATGCATGAAGATTGACCTGATCTTGCAAAATAGCACAAGGAAAATACTTTTTTGAGCATAAGTGAAACGTTCGTTGGCTTTTTCATGATGATTAGAAGTAGTGTATTTTCTGTGTGAAATCTTACAGGAAGAGTTCCTGAAAACAGCTGTTTATCGTTGTCTAAGGCCTTGATCTCTAAATGGATAATATCGCTAGATCTCTGTGTCTCTCTGCAGGAGGCAGCTCAGTAATGCTTCCTAAGACTGGAGCATCTGTCTTTGTAGAAACAGCTGAGGCGTTGATCTTTTAAGTGGCTGACTCTGGTACTGAAACCTGCAGCCGAAGATGGCAAGAAGTAAGCCAGAAATAGTGTGCAATTAGTGCCCTCGTGCAGTACAAAGACTGCATTTCAATTTGATAAATTTACCATTTCCCATATGAAATATTTATATCAGTAAGAAACTAGCTGCTTAAATTGAGAATAATTGGGAGAGATCACTGTCAAAACCAGGAGAATCTGAAGAACTGTCGCAGTGCAAGAACATACACATAGACTTTGCATTTTGTCTGAATAACCCTGTATACATTTACATTTTCAGGATCTAGAAGAAAAGTAAGTGCCGATGGGATAACAAGTAAAGTGAGATGGTTAAGTAAACCTTTAAGATACTCCTAATTTTGTGCAATAACACAATATTGAAAGCAAACCTATGTATAAGGCAATGCATTTAAAATTATTGAAAAGACTTTTCATTTAAGCCAAACTACAGAGCACATTATCTGTGTTTGAACCATGGGTTTCA